AAGTAATCATATGTTGCCCAAATTGCTGAATTCATTTTAAACCCCCTGTTTGGTTTGGGTAAAAAAAAAATAGACTTTTGGTAAAATTTAATAGAAGTTAATGAAATATATAGTTGAAAAATAAATAAAAATTTAATTGAAAGTGAATTTTAAGAAATTAGTCAAACAAAGGCTAACTTTCACTTCATTAAAAATTGGGTAATGCTAGTGGTACATCACCACTAACATAATGATCTACATAATGGACACCTGGAACTCTTTCATTGAATGGAGGGTTGGTGGGGTCGGCACTCCCTCCAATAAGAGGGTGCCGGGTGTCCATTATGGACACCTTGATGTACAAGGTGATGTACAACAAGTATTATCCTTAAAAATTAGCAATATTTTTACTATTCTCCAACCTACATAATCAAATATTCAAACTTGAAGACGACCGCATGACTAAAGTGTGATGTTATCCTAATGGAAATATCTCACCCCTTCAAAGACCATGCTTCATGTACAAGGGATAATTCACACATAGTGGGTGGGTAATTCTTTTTGACCTTTTTATTGAAGTGGGTCCCACGCTGAGAGGGTGCAATGTGACAGATTACTCACACTATAGGGAGGGCCCACAATTGTTTGGAAATTTTTTAGGGATATGCTACAAGTACAGGATTTTAAAAATCCTGTACTTACACACCACACACAATAGGGGGGTGGGTGGGGGAGTTTTGGCAATTTTTTAATCACATGGGGCCCACTCCCATGTGAAATAGAGTTTGAATTCCTATGGAAATTCTGGTAATTCTTTCCTGTACTCCAAGCTTTATTCAATTTTTTATTACAGCTGGTCCCATAACACTGTGAAAACCTGTCAAACCGCATGGCACAAATTTTCTGGCAGATGAGCTTAATCCTACATTTAATTCTTCGAAGTGAGCTTTCATCCAGTTGTACTTTTCAGAATTGTACAACATCCTTCAAAACCTTCATTTATTTCAACCAAATTCTCGATCAAAGACTCACAAAATTGACTTTTAGAGCTAAATTCTTGATGGAAAACTAATGCACACGCACGCTTTTACGTAATGATACTGGTCGGTGTAAGCGCGGCTGCTTAAACACTCTTTCACAGTACATAATTCAGGGGTTCATATACGATTATATGGTGATGGAATCTGAGTGTGGGCCTCAAACGTTTGACGAAATTAAGAAATTTTTAATTTTTTTAATTCCACTTGTCTCCTGTTTGTGGTTCATATATATATATATGATGAAAAAATTGCATTAAGATGATCTTTCTTGTTTCTGAGTGAATTTTTTCGAGTGCGTATTTCCAGGGAGAAACTAGTCGAGAGATGAATAAAATAGGTGGGAGTACTGTGAATAAAATGGACAGAAAGGCCATTGAAAAGAACAGAAGAATTGTCATGAAAGATCTGTGTTTTAAGCTTAACTCTCTCATCCCTCCTCAGCACATGAAACCAGCAAAGGTACACTTCAGTCTCTATTTTAAAAAATCAAGCGTTTTACCAGTATCACGAATGAAGAAACTGTCGAGAATTTCCATATGTGATTTTCCAAATCCATTGGTTCAACGTGTGTGTGTGGTGGGGTGGGGGGTTTAAAATTTAGGGAAACAGGTTTCATGGTGATCTAGGGTTAGGTTTTTCAATATTGAGGTTTTTTATGGGCACTTTTTTTGCCTAACATGATTAAAAATTTAAGAAAAATGGTTTCTTGGTGATGTGATCTAGCGACTAAACATGATTCCAATAGGATTTTTTCTTTATGCATATGTTAAAAATTCCCAATATTGTGTCAATATAACATATTGAATCATCTCATTTAAAAATTTAAATTTAAAGATGACAAAATTTAATTTTTGTTGTAATATCTTCACCCTATCTATGTATGTCACACATCTATATATTTTATCATTTGCATTCTAGTGAATGTAGTTACAAGTTATGTAACCATATTACTAATATGGTTTGAAGTTTGATCCTTGTTATATAATTATAACATTCCAAATTAAAAATCTTGCCAAACTGGTAAAGAAATCATCTGATCAGGTTATATCTCTTTTTATCAGGTTATATCTCTTTTTATTATTAAGTTTTTGTTATACATACACGTGCAGGAAGTTTTATCGCAACAAGATCTGTTCGACCAGGCTGCAAGTTACATTAAGCAACTTAAAGAAGGAATAGAGGAATTAAAGAGTAGAAAGAGGCTCCTAGATTTGAGCACTGCAGATGAAGCAAACAATAGTATCAGAGATTCAGTAATGTATGGAGTAAAATTGCCATTTTTGAGATTTAGAGACTTCGGTTGTAGCTTTGAAGTTGTTTTGATAAGTGGGAACACGAAGAAGTTCATGTTACATGAAGTTATTAGAATACTCGAAGGAGGAGGAGCAGAAGTTGTCACTGCTAATCTTTCTAATATTGGAGTCAACGTTTTCCTCACGCTTCACGCTAAGGTGATTATTTGAAAAGTTTTGCACACGCACACATACATTTGAAATATGTATATCATGAATACATTTTTTTTTTAGTATGCTTAGAACAACTTCGCTTAAAATGTTAAGATGAGCCACATTCATGTCGTCGTTTAGTCTTGTCCTCAACATGTCTCTCAACCTCATTGCCGATTGGATATTCATTTTCTGAATTGCACTTTCCTTAATTATTCATGAACGTATATATAGCACTTTCCTTATTGAATGTTATCTTATACAAGATATCATAAACAACTTTCAAGTAGAGGTTCACGCCAAACTGAAAGACTTCATATTAGCAATGAAAAAGCGTGTGATTAATCTGAAAATTAATTTTAAGCTTATCTATTTAATTGGTTTTTCTACGGCAGGTTAAATTTAGCAGAGTTGGTGTGGATACCTCTGGGGTATTTCAGAGGTTACAAGCATTGGTTTCTTCAAGTAATATTCCATAGACTGAGCAGGAGAAAATAAAGCAAATGTTAATTGCTGAAGCTATGCTTCCACAAGAAATGTTTACGCGTTTTCTAGTAGTGTGCGTAAGATTAAAGAATCAGTGTCAATAAAAGTCCTCGACTATAAATATTTTCCACAGTAGAATTCTCTCTTTTCTAGCGTACTGATCTCATGTTATAAACAATATTGTTTGTTTATATTTGAATTTTACTTCTTTTATGTGTTCAATCAGTCGCGTGCAGGGACGGACGCAGATCTTAAAAGTTAGGGGGGCACAATCG